AGTGTTTTTTTCCAGTAAGCTAGGTTTGGGAATAGAATAGTGAGCAAGTATACTGTGCTTTTATGGAATTTATATTCAAGTCAGAAGAACAGATGATAAATAAATAATTTAAATAATTACATATCATACTAAGATAGGGAGGAAATAAAGTATTTATGTTAAAAGAAAATTATAGGGAGCAGGATCTAGTCAAGATACAAGGTTAAGAAACGTCTTGCTGAAAAGGTGGTTTTAGTTGAGACCTAAAGGATGATTAGAGAGAGATAGAATGTCCTAGAAAGGAACAATGGGGCAACCTGAGATGATTAAGAGCAAAGCCCTAAGACAGATAAATGGTTGATGTGCTTGGAAATAAAGAAGACTAGAAGGGCTGAAGCAAAGGAGAAAGGTAACAATATACTAATTGAGGTATGTTGAAGAAAATACAATACACTACTCATCTCCAATAGGAAATGAACTACTCATACATGTAACAGTATGGTTCTGTAAAACTTTACGCAGAGAAAAAAGTGCCACACTCTACTCAAAAACATATCATTTATTTTTATATACATATATAAAGTTCTAGTGAGAAAACAATTAATCCACAGTGAAGAAATCATATCAGTGTCTACCTGTTTGGGTAGGAAGAAGTGATTGGCTACAAAGAGGTATAAGAAATCTTTATGAAGTAATGAAAATGTTCTATATCTTAATTGGGCTGGTAGTGACATAGGCATTAAATGTTTCTGAACTCATCAAATTATGTATTAAAATGTTTTCATTTTATTATCTCAAGTTATTCAATTTTACAAAGAAAAAAGGGGGAGACTCACAATCATTAATTGATTTGCTGATAAGGGAGTAAAGATCCCTTACACTCTAAATTTTGGAATTATGAAAATTATCCTGCAGAATACTCATTAATTTTTTTTGGGGGGGGGGAGCACTTTAGGCTCCAATAGCTATTTCTTTGGGGAGAAGCAAACATATTACCGATTCCTTTATCTGATGTTGGTTTTAGTAATATAAAAGCCTGAAATTTAGAACCTTCTTTCCTATTGACTTTGACAGGAGAGCGGTAAATGAAGATAAAAACACAAATGTAAGGATTGTAACCAATATGGAACTTTTTTTGAGGTGATGGTATTATGGGTGCATGAAATTGTCCAAACATATCAAAATGTATGTACGTATTAAATATATGCAACTTTTTGCATGTTAAGTATACTTCAATAAAGTTGGAAAAAATAAGAAAAAATAAAAGAACATAGTTTTCTAAAATAGCTTAAAGTTTTAATTTTAAAGGAAATTGAATATTTATAAATATCATTATAATTTCTAGTGACTTTTTCACTACTCTTAACACATGAGAGAATCTCCTTCCTCAGTCTTTTCCCAAACTCTTCATTCTGATAACCATTGTCATCAGGAAAACAGCAAATTTTGTAAAGAGACCAACTCAGAATACCTAATCCTAATTGTTAGCAGTCTAAAGAATTTGTGATTTTGGAAAATTTGCATCTAGATTAAGTTTTACTGAAACGTAATCTATTCCAGAGTCCCTCATCCTTGCAGATTCTTGTGATTTTGGAAAATTTGCATCTAGATTTTCAAGTTTTACTGAAACATAATCTATTCCAGAGTCCCTCATCCTTGCAGATTGCCCACTCCACTCCCCTAGACTTTGGCACTTAATTAACCTCTTTTGTACACTTTTGTTGTTTCAATTACTTTTTCATACTAAAATTAAAGTTCCTCAATTGAGGATAATTTGTAAAAAATACATAAACGAGCAATCATAAGTAAAATACCACAAATCTTATTACTCTGAGTAGCTGTTATTAGCATTTGGATGTATTTCCAGAATCTTTTTCTTTGCACATGTATTCCTTTTTTTAGTATTGGCATCAGCCTTATGGACATTTGTTCATTTTTCCCCCTTTAATATTATACCTTTACCATTTTTCACACACTTAGACACTCTTTGCAAATATAATAGTTAAATGACACATGATATTCAATTGCTCATTGCATTATCTGGTTCCTTATAGATTAATATTGGAATGTTTTCTGGTTTTGTTTTTATAAATAATAAATATATACACATCTTTGTACTGTTTTCTAACATTCTATTTCTATAAAGAGATTCCAATATAGGGAAAATATATGTACTTTTAACTGTTTTGATGGAAATTTTATACTCTTTTTTAAACAAGGTATACCAACTTAGTGTTCTACAAACAATGTAAAAATAATTTTTACTTTAGTGGTCTGTGGAAGATGATATACTTTTCAAAATCTTCACTCATTTTGGAGATTTTTACTGTTTTCTTGTGATGATGAACATAGGTCAACTCAGACCTTCTCAGAGAAGAATTATTCTGGGGATGCTGAAAATTGTCTCATTTTGCTTCTGGAAGGTTGCCGACCTCTGGGCCAGTGGTTCAGAGAAATGACTTAGTGATGAGATATGATGGCCTGGCAAACTTTCTGCATTTATGTCCCCAGAGCAGTGGGGTGATTGGGGTGGTTGTGATGCTGTGCACTTGGGCTCAGGGGTCTTTTCCACAACATCCTTGAATAACCCTGTCCCTGATTTGTTTGGTTCTAACTCCATAGATGATGGGATTGAGCATGGGAGGCACCAGTAGATAGAGATTAGCCAACATGACATGTACCACTCGGGGCACACGCTGTCCAAAGCGATGGGTGAGGAAAGTAAAGAGGGCTGGGATATAAAAAGCCAAGATGACACAGACATGGGAAGCACATGTACCAAAAGCCTTGAGTCGGGCTTCACCAGCGGGCAACCCCAGCACAGTCCTCAAGATCATCACATAGGATATGCTGATGACTATCATGTCAAAGCCAACCACCGAGAAGGCCACGAAGAGTCCATATGCACGATTTACTCTGGTATCAGCACACACCAACTTCAACACAGCCATGTGCTCACAGTATGACTGAGGAATGATCTGGCTGGGGCAGAAGGGCATTCTGGAAACCATAAAGCAGAAGGGGCTCACCCACAACAGCCCTCTCATCATCACGACTGCCCCCAGTTTACACACTGCAGAGAGGGTCAGGATACTAGAGTGACGAAGTGGGAAGCAGATAGCCACATAACGGTCCAAAGCCATTGCCATGAGCACCCCAGACTCCACGGAAGAAAAGGCATGGATGAAGAACACCTGGATGAGGCAGGCATGGTATTCAATCTCATGAGCATGAAACCAGAGGATAGCCAGCATTTTCGGTTGGGTGGAGGAGGAGAGGACCAGATCAGTGACAGCCAGCATGGCCAGAAAGAGGTACATAGGCTCATGCAGGGTGTGGTCAGTTCGAATTATGTGAAGAATAGTGATGTTGCCAACTACAGCCACCACATACATGGCACAAAATAGAAAGGCAACCCAAAAGTGGGAATTCTCGAGTCCTGGGATGCCAAGCAGGATAAAGGACATGGGATGAGAAGAGCTGTTTCCTGAAGCCGACATCACAGGATGGTTAAGTTCTCCACTGGGAAGGTAATCTACTCTCTGCAGGTGATAATCAAATAAGTCAAGGAAATTATTATTTATAATCTTTTGGAAGGAGCAATTGAATAATAGGGCAATAGCATTTAAGGATAAGCTAGAATAATTTCAACTACTTTAATAAATAAAAATTTATAACATAAAGTGATGCTACTCTTGATTCTTTATTCATATTTATGCCATTCAAAATGGGGTCAGAACATACTAGCTGTAAGTGTAACTTTTTATAAGAAGATTTTTTTTGAAAGTAGAATCTACTAAGGGAAGACTATATTGACAAATAATGTCATAGTAATTCTCACCCTTTTATTCTTTAGACCTAACAACTGATTTGGTTAACCTTTCCCCTAGGCCTAGGCCCTTTTTATCACTTTGTTTAAGCTGCTTGCACAACTTCTACGATGGGGAAGCCAGCTGAGAAATGCAATGAATTAGTGCCTTGTACATGACTCCACATCCGTGCTTTTGGTCATACACTGTCTCTGCTAGATAATGATTGATTAGAATACTCACCCTGGTGGAATAAAGCAGAGATTGTTGCTCTCTTTTGACAAAGGCATATATGAAAGTTAGTCACAAAATTATATACTGAATTATAGACAGATCTGCATTTGAACCCAGAATCTCTGCCAGTCTCGAGTGGCTCTAGAATATGCTCCAAGTTGGTCTTCTGGGTATGGGCTGCTTTTTCTAAGAAAGCATCTTTATCAGTTTCTGCCTATGAGCTTCAAAGGCAAACTCAACTGTTCCACATACTTTTTTGGGGAGTGGTGACTTTTCTCAGCCAGGATTCAGCTACTCACAGTGTGCAGTCTCTTTCACAAGCCAGTTTCTCTCCTCTGCTGCGTCTATACTCCAGACTCTCCAACGGCCTTCCCACAGACCAGAGCTCCCATAGAGATGCTTCTCAGCTTTCTCATTCCATTGGCTCTGATTTTCTGCTCTAAGATTGTCTTTCTTGGGTGAACAACAAAGCAGTAGAGCCGACCTAGGACCTGAGTCTGATGTGGAACATGAGAGCCCTTGACAGGTAGTGCTCTTTCCTCTCTGTGCTTTCTGCTGCTATCCCATGGAATCAGCAATCCCCTTATCATTTTTTCTCTCAGACTTATGAACTCCACATGCAGAGTTAAGGCTATAAGTCATGGAGAGCGGACAGGGAGTTAACAATCTTCAATCACTTTTGTGCAGTGCCTGTGGTTTTCAATAGTGTTTCTGTGGAGAAGACAGGTTATCTGGGTTAAGGGATGGAAATGTACATTTCCTAAAGGAAGAGTGTCATACTTTCCCTTTTTGCCCAGCTTTCTTTCTCTCCGTCCCTGATTTTAAATATTTCCTCCCTCCCGCCCCTCTATGGGCTAGAATGCTTGTGGGCATAGTGCATATTAGACGAAGAAATTGTCATCTTTTTCAAGCATTCTAGCTAGGGTGATCACACAATGAACTTCAGACTCAATTTATCTATTCCCCAAAATATAATCTAACTTGTGGGAACTTGGCATGGCTTTTGTTTCAGGAAATATGGTTATTAAAATTATATTCTCACATTGATGGAGCTCCTCTTTCATCTGTGAGTATGGGTTTAATCCAGCTTCGGTCCCCACTGACTCTGTGGGGCCTCAATTACAGCACTCATTATGTAGAAATAGTTATGTCCATTAGTACAATGGTGTTGCTCAAGCCTAAATGGATGAAAGATAAAATGGGCTGAGATCTTGCTAAGAAATAGCTTCAGGGATATTTAGATTGTGTTTTCTCATGTTGGGTATCTAAAACTACAGCATAGAACAGCAATGCTGGAGCAGGGTGAGGTTCAGGTCCAGCCTCCTTTGTGCAGGGATTGCAAAAGGAGGTGGTCTTTCTATTCTTCTGGAGTTTCCCCGAAAGACAGGTTGAGCAGTGAGTCTTCTCAGAAGGAAGTTCAGGAGTCATGGATCTCTCGACTGGGAGCCCCAGTGAGTCAGGCTATTCTTCACAGAACACATCCTGCCTTCCAGCATCTTGGAGCCCCAGTGAGTCCTACTTCTCTCTGGGAGGGGCAGAGATAACTGGGGCCCGGGAAACAACTGACCTTGAGCTCTGTTTTATCTCTGACCAAGCTTTGCATGACTATGAGCAGCTCTAAGTGGCTCCTGGGATTCAGTCATTAGCAGAGACCTCAGATGAGGGCCTATTTAAAGGCCTATTGAAGACTGGCCTTTCCCTTCCCCCAAGCATTAGTTCTCCTCCCCCTGAGCCCCACTGCCTCATGCATTGGCTTCCCCTGAGACTAGAGACTAAAGCTGGAAGCATTAACCCCTAACTTTCCCCTCTCCTCTGTGACTCTGTGTACAAAAGCAGGGGATTTAATGCATGTGGCAGAGGGTGCGTTGTTGAGATTATACGAATGTGAGTTTATCTGTATGAAGGTAATTGTTGTTAGTCAGAGTATGTACACTTATAAGTGAAGGAATATTTTGTTCAATGTGAAAGTGTATTGATATGTCATGTGGCCCTGTGTTTATGGAAGAATAGATCAATACATTATTGAAAAAAATGATAGAGATCAGAAATAACTCCAAACATAATTAACTGATTTTCAGCAGAGATATCAATGCAATTCAGTGATGGAAAAATGTCTTTATGGTACTAGAAGAACTGGATATCTGCATGAAAAAACAAAATGAACCTTAACTTCTATTACTTTAATATAAAAAATCTTGATTTAAAATGTAATATAAACCTACTTTTAAAAGTTAAAACTGTAAGGATTCTAAAAGAAGAAAAATATGATAATATTGTCATAAGCTTGAGGAAAGCAAACATTTCTTAGGCAGGACATAAAAGACATTAGCCATAAAAGAAAAAAAATAACATTAAAGTTTATTTTAAAGAGTCTACTTCAAATGATTCCATTATAAATATGAAAAGGCAAGCCACGGATAAAGAAAATAGTCACAATGCTGTACCTGAAAAAATAAAGCCTTACAATTAATAGAAAGATGAACAACTCACTAAATTTTTAAACAAATGATTTAAACAGGTACTACTTTACAAGGGAGGTAATAGAGTGGATTTATATATATATAGAATGGATATATATATATACACACACACACACACACACACACACACA